GGGTGTCCCTCCCGGTCCTTCCCTCTGGCTGCCTGAGCAGGAAGAAATGTTCACCTTGAGCAACCGGGCCAGGCCAAAGTCGGCCACCTTGCAGGCCTGGTCTTCACCCACAAGCACGTTCCTGGCGGCCAGGTCCCTGTGCACCACGCGCTGCTCCTCCAGGTAGCCCATGCCCTCCGCCACCTGGCGGGCAAAGCTCAGCAGGTGGGCCAGGCTCAGGGCCTTGCCCTCAGGACCTGCGGAGCAGGGGGTGTCACTTGACCCTCTGCCTTCTGCCTCACTGAGACCCCTAGTGTCATGACAGGCCAGGCCAGGCCTGCATGAGGGCCACCCCTGCTCCTCAGCCACCAGCCTGACCTCCAAGAGTCCAAAGACCAAAGGGCCCACAGCCAGCCACACATGGGCAATGTCGACTCCAAAACGTGGCCCCTGCCAGCCTCAGCCTAGTAGGGACAGGATTTGAACACGCGCGCACGCACAGGCACGTCTGCCCTGTGGACTGCGAACCTGGAGCTGGTGCCACTGTCACATGAGTTAGGGAAGTGGGGGTGAACAGGCAGCTGGGTCATTCCCCGTGGGCTATGGGGGCGTGGGGGGCGGGTGTTTGGGCAGGGCCACTTGACATAGGTTTGCCTGGAGCTGGGGCGGGCATGGCTGGGAGTGAGGTCAGCCACGGTGAGGGGGATTCCCCCAGGGCTCAGACTCCATTAGGTCCGAGTAGGGCGAGGCTAGGGAGAGAAATCAGGGCTCAATTTGGGGCAGGGAGGGGCCGTGGGCCGAGGGGCGGGGCCAGGATGGGGCGGGTTGTGTGGATACCCAGGCAGGCGAGGTGAGGTGAGCCGGATCAGGAGGGCACAGGGGCGGAGGAAGGGGCGGGGCAACCGCAGGGATGAGGCAGGAGACCACCAGGGTCCGGGGATGGGACCCGGGCGGGCGCGGGGCGGCTCCGGACAGGGGCTGGGGTGAGGCTAGGGAGGCCCCGTAGGATGGGGACCGCAGCGGAGGGCGCGCGGCGCTCGGCGCCACTCACCGCCCAGGTAGGCCTGCAGGTTGCCCTTGCGCATGAGCTCGGTGACGATGTACACGGGCTCGCCCGCGGAGCACACGGCGTGCAGCCGGATGAGCCGCTCGTGCCGCAGGCTCTTGAGCGTGTGGATCTCCTTGGCCAGGTCTGCGAGCTTCATGTGGGCTGCGGGGGTCGTGGGGCAGAGGCGGCTGAGGACGCGCGCTGGCGCCCTGGCTGACCCAGCCGCCGGGACCCTGCGGGGCACCCACCTGACGTGATGATCTTGATGGCCACCGGCGCTGAGCCCAGCCACAGGCCTTCCCACACCTCCCCGAAGTAGCCCTGGCCCAGCTTCCTCCGCAGCGCGAACTCCGAGCGCGGCCGCTCCCACTCGTCCTGCTCCGGGGGCTTCTGCGGGTTGGGGCTCTCAAGGCTTCTGCCAGGGCTCCCCAGTACAGGGGCACTACCAGCCGAGGAGGGGTCTGGGGTGGGGGTGGAGTGCAGCCGTCCCCCAGGCCGCCAGCCCCGGTTCACATATGCTCTGAGCTCCAGTGGACACAGGGGAGCCAAGTGCCTGGCCCAGGGCCTCAAAGCTAAGTGGCCCCTTTGTCCAAGCCCACATCCGGCCACAAACCCTCATTACTCTGCGGCTGGGCTGGGCTGTTAATTAAAGGTCTGCGGGCCAGGAGACGGGGG